GAGTTCCTATGAAATTAGCATAATGACCAAATTGTAAGGTTAAAATTTCGTGCATCGCGAAATTGTCGCGAGAATGCGAAATTCGATTCAATTTTATGTCACTTTTTGGGGTGTGTCCCCAAATTTTTTTTTGATTTAAATTGTCTCCATACACTCAAAAATTGAAAAATTATAAAATTATCAATTCTTCCATCGATATGTCCACTTTAATCCAAAGTAATGGATCGGAAGATAGCACCTCCGAAAGCGATGTAGATAAAGCTGAAGAAGTCGAGAAATCCGAGAAAGTAGGTTCAGTTAAACGGAAGAGTAAACGCCGGTTAGAATTAATAAAATAATAACTTTTTCTTCTTCAAAACCACGCTTTTGTTTGAAAATTAATATATACGACTTTTGCACCGTTTCAAGACCAGTGGAAGTTTCGTCTAAAAAACCAGTCAGTCGGTTCAGAAAAGTTGTCGACTTACCCTCGAATGTATGCATGTACGATGAGATTCTTCGTGATTCTATTTCCGTCATAAATTAACCACTTATTCACAGATAAAGAAAAGACGTGACCCGCGTTTCGATAATCTTTCAGGCAAATTTAATGAGGATTTATTTGAAAAATCCTATAATTTCTTGAATGAGTACAAGGATTCAGAGATCAAGGAGCTTCAAGATCGGATCAGTAAAGAAAAAGATCCAGAAGAAATAGAAAAACTACGGCAATTGTTGTCGAAATTGGTATTATTAAACATCTTTTCACGTGTATATTCTTTGGGGGTTTGGCAATAAATCGTTAACCCGATAGCATTCTGAACGTAGCAATCGAAAGCAGCACATGAGAAACAATTAAAACAAAAAAAACTGTTGAAACGTGAACGAAGAAAGGAAGAATTAGAACTTGTTTCCCGTGGGAAAACACCATTTTATATTAAGAAATGTGAGAAAAAGTTTATGATATTAGATATATTATTATTATTATTATTTATTAATCAAAATATAACCATTTGAATAACAGCCGACGAGAAAAAACTGGAACTTATTGATAAATTCGAAAAAATACAAAAGTCGAATCCTAAAGCTCTTGATAAATTTATAGAAAAGAGGAGGAAACGGAATGCAGCTAAAGAACATAGGCATATGCCATTTAAGAGACGGAAGGTTGAGTGATTTCATCAACGATCTTCTCTCGCGTTTTCTAGCTGAATTACGGATTTAGGAATTTATACTAATCTCGAGACTCCCAACATGTAATATGAAATTTTTCATGTGGAATCAGTATTTATAAACCACAAAAAAAATTATTAAATTTTAAGAATTAATTTAATATATTGATATTCTGTTAAACACAAGATAATAATTTATAAACTTTGCATTGTCTCTAATGGTTAAGTCACATGATAACCAGAGAACTTATAAATAGTGCGTGGATTTGAAAAAACGCTTGGCTTTACTCGAGAATACAGTTAATCATGGCTGACATTGAATTAGTCGCCCTTTTTCAATCAATAGGCCTGACCGAACAGCGAGCAAAAGACACTGCTAAAAATAAAAAACTTGCGCCAACTTTGAAAACGACTATCACTGAGGCTGGATATGCCGAAGGCGGTTGTGATAAAATTGTGGGCGATCTACTTTATGCGCTTGCTTCAACTGCGAGTAAGGATGCGACGACGCATTTGGGATATCTTGCACGCGCCATTAGTGGAAACAAGTTAAAGAGTCAAGATCAGGTTGCTGGTAGGGCAACTTGCATTCACGCATTTCAAGCGATAGCAAGGTTTTGCATGCACTCTAACGAAGTTGACTCCCTTGGAATTGTTAGCTGCCATTAAGTTTGCTGAGAATACAACTAGTGAAATTAAAGACGAGGAATTCGACAAAGCTTGCGGAGTTGGTAATTAAATTTTCTTTATTTCTGAATAATAAATTTTTTTTACTGACACAAATTATGATCACAGGTGTTACGGTAACTTCTGAGCAAATCACAAATTCAATTGCAGCTCACATTGAAGCCATCCGGGACACGCTTATTAAGGAGAGATACAAGTTTCTGGGACCTTTACTCGCACAAGTGAAACAGATTCCAGAATTACGATGGGCAAATGGCATCGATGTAAAGAATGAGTTGGAGAAACAAGTGGTTGCGATAATCGGTCCCAGGGATGAAAGAGATTTGGTAGTCAAGGGAAAAGTACGCGTAAAAATTTTCTTATCCATATGTAACATGCATTCATTGTGTGTGTGTATTGATTCTTTTAACCTACGCAATGTCAAACAAAGAAAAAAGACAAGGATTCTAAACCAGCTCAATTAAAAAGTCAAAAGGAAAATTTACCATCAGCATCTGAATCAAAAAAGGGCTCAATACCTAACATGTTTTTAGAAGGCGAGCTCGCAAAGCTTCATAAACCTGGAGGCAACAAACAGATCAAACCTGAATTGATGGAAAAACACCTTAAGGAGACTGGTAGTAAAGTGCTAACTAGGTTTCCCCCCGAGCCTAATGGTTTTTTACATATTGGCCACGCGAAGGCTATCAACGTAAATTTTGGATATGCCAAGGCACACAACGGTTTATGTTATCTCAGGTTTTGACCATCACTATAATAACAATTTTTCAAATTATATTTTTGGATATCAACTAAGTTATAATCAAATTTTCTAGGTATGATGATACGAATCCCGAAGGTATGATGGACCGAGTTGAGATAGTCACTACATCTAAAGATGATTTTTAATTTGGAAATTTATCTATTCATTTCAGCCGAGGATGAGGAGTATTTCATATCCATAAAGGAAACGGTAGAATGGTTAGGGTTTGCACCATGGAAGATTACATATTCTTCGGACTATTTTGATCAACTATATGAGTTAGCAATCGAGTTGATAAAACGCGATAAGGCTTATGCTTGTTCGTGTACTCCCGAGGAGATGCATGAAATGCGTGGTGGGGACAATGGGGGTGAACGGAGAGAATGCGTGCATCGCAATCGTCCGATCGAGGAATCATTAATGGAATTTCAAAAGATGAAGGAAGGTCGATATAAGGAAGGTGAAGTTACCCTTCGTATGAAGATGGACATGCAAAGTGGGAATCCCCAATTTTGGGATCTCGTTGCATACCGTGTTTTATACACCCCGCACCATAGGACTAAGGACAAATGGTGCATCTATCCAACCTACGATTACACTCATTGTCTGTGTGATTCTTTCGAAAACATCACTCATTCATTGTGTACTCTCGAGTTTCGTATGTCACGGGAATCATATTATTGGCTTTGTGATGCGCTTGAAGTCTACAAACCCGTCCAATTTGAATACAATAGGTTCTTTGATTCATCAAATTTTAGTCGTATTGATACTATACAATTTTACTGATTTGTCGTACGGTGTGTAACCAGGTTGAACATCAACAATACCATCATGTCAAAACGTAAAATCGCGAAACTTGTTAACGAAGGATACGTTAGAGGATGGGATGATCCTCGAATATACACCCTTCCCGCTCTGCGTAGACGTGGAGTACCACCACAAGCGATCAACGGTTTTGTTCAAGATCTAGGTGTCACAACCTCAAATTCAACAATTCAGGTTTCACGTTTCGAAAAATATGTGAGGGACTATTTGGATGTTCATGTGCCGAGATTAATGGTAATTGTAGAGCCTCTTAAAGTAGTAATAGAAAATTTGCCGGATGACTATCTTGAGGAATTAGTTATTCCTTTCAAACCCAAAGATCCTGCCATGGGTGAGGTAAGCCAGAAAGGATTGTTGTGCAAATGATTATTATTCGTTTTATTATTCACGATTCATTTTTATTTAATAGCACACCGTTCCGTTTAGTAAGTTCATATACATTGATAAATCCGATTTTAGGGAGCACGATTCTCCTGATTATTTTCGTCTTGCCGTGGGAAAATCAGTTGGTCTTCTACATGTACCACATTGTATTACATGTGTTGATATTGCAAAAGATTCTGAGGGGAACATTACGCATCTGATCTGCCGCTATGAAAATGGATCTGATGTTAAGAAACCCAAAACTTACATTCAATGGGTGGCTGAATCTGCGAAGCATAAGTCACCTATTTGTCTTAACGAAGTCCGAATTTACAACAACCTTTTTTTGTCAGAAAATCCTGTCGCACACCCTGATGGTTTCTTGAGCGATATAAATTCAAATAGTCTTGAAGTCGCCTCGAATTCATTGGCTGAAATCGGATTACGTGAAATTATTTCGCGCTCGTTTGAAAAATCAAGGAACGAGTTTGAGTCAGTTCGATTTCAAGCTATCCGCGTTGGATATTTTTGTCTCGACAAAGATTCTCAATTAGGAGATCAGGGAAACGAATTATCAGACAAATTTGTACTTAATAAGATTGTTTCCCTGAAGGAAGATCCCAAAAAGAATTAAGATAAATATTTTTTATAAAAATTAATATTTATTGTATAAATAAAAGGAAGTAATTATTGTCATCACCATAATAATAATAATTACGTGATATTCATGGCTGCGGTTGTAACGCGTAATAGTGAAAATAAACATATTATTTTCTTGTAAAAAATAACTATATGATTATATACTGTAGATACTACAAGTTCTTGTTTGACATTGTCATTCAAAAGTATCCTAATCAACTTTCTTAAACAGTTTAAAGACAATAGTTTTAATCGGATAATGTTTATTTTAAATAAAAAACTCTTGTTAACTATGATTGCTCAAATAAAATTTTTTTATTATGACCGTTGCACACTTTGAAAATGTTTTTCTTGACGTTTTGCACAAATACAGCTTTATATTTCAATAAGATATTCATATTTTCGATCGTTCAGAGAATAATTCATCAAGTCACGTCGTTTACTACTCCACCTCGGTTAACGGAAATCCTGTTTCGGCGATGATGGGTTTTTTCTTTTCGGTCAATTCCTTTTTTCTTTCTTCCCATCGCTTGTAACCTTCTCTTTTTATCTTTGCAATGTCATCCTCCTTTTTTCCATCAGGAACGCCACCACCAATCGAAACGATCCTCTTGCAGATTTTTCCTGCGCCAAACCAGAAAGCGATATATGCAAAAAGAATGGCCACATGCCCGCAGAAATACAAGGAGCTCCAGACGTAAAGTGAGCTTCCCAATTCGAGCAAGTTGAATGATATGACCAAATAATTTATAATGGATTGTGTGATTATCCAATTCAGGAAATCATATAAGGGCTTGAAACGGGCAAACCGAGGTGTCAGGAAAATGGGGCGAACATGACGACGGATTGCTAGTAAAACGCGCGAATCCAATGAGTGCTTGTCACGTGATATATTGATATGTCCGAAATCGAAAACTTACTTCGATGAAGGCTTTGGATAAAAGCACCAGATGCAAATGTCACTATCGATTCGAATGAACAAAGATGGTTAACCACCGATGTTTAATAGTGATTCTAGAGACACCAAAGATTACCTACAATAATATCCGGGGTAGAATCCGTGCCATATGGCACTTGTTCCGAAAGTGGCAAAAGTTGAAAAGAAAGTTGGCTTCTTTCCTGGAGGCGTCACTCTAAGGTACACATAATTCTTTAACCATTTATTCGTGTTCTTGTTCCAAGCTTCTAACAAAGATTTGATGTTATCGGCTTTTTCGTATGCAACAACGTCGATATTCGATACACGATCCCTTAAAGGATCATGGAGAATGAATGAATGGTAAGCATATAGTTAGTTATCAATTGTCAATCAACCGGAACTGTTCGTGGAGTAACCTACCATTTTGCCCTTCCTCTCTCATCATATCCGTTGAAACCGAGCCCGGAGAGGATGCATGCACCTTCTGCGAGCATCCAAACAATGTAATACTTGAACCGGGCGCACAAGGCTACCATTTGTATGAACCATAGCCTGCCGATGAAATTTTTTCGCGATTCAAAGAGCATGAGAATTAAAAGTGAATATTCCCTTGGCTTAAAAAAAAGTTGACTAGACGTACCGCTTCAGAAATGAGATCGATTTATATTCTTCGCCAAGAGTCCAATCATACGAGTATTTACCGCCAAACGAGATTAAGCATACAATCCAAAATAAACTGGATAACAATTTACCCATAGCAGGTGAGAAACCATCGGGAATAAAATATTTGGGAGGCCTTGAATGCTTTTCATCATTCTTTTCCCAAATAAATTGCTTATCCACTTTACGATTGGCTGGGGCGTTGATAGGATTTTGAAGAATCAGCTCTTTTGGCTTGTTGGTGTCAATCTCATCGATTCGATACATTTCCATGTTGACAAATCGTCGATATTCCATGAATTCGAATGCCGGACCGGTAAAAACTCCACCAAAAAAGTAAACGTACCCAAGAAATTCAAGTATCGGAGGCATAGAAGGGATTGACTTACGTTTTTGATCTGAAGATAACACCTGAGAATTAGGTTGAGAGAGAAAAAAAAAAAAAAGAATGGATATTTGAGAATTTCGTTGGGGTAGGAAAAGTGGTGAAAGGTTAATAATTATAATCAAGATACCGACATGAAGTGGCCTTCGTCCGTCATAAACATTGAACGCGAATGAGGTCAACTTTATGACCAACACCATTTGAGAGCTTGTCAAGTCGAATTTATCATATGATAGGTGGTTGAGTTGTCGATTTATGTGACTATCGAGTTAATTTCGGGAGGAAGAAAAAAAAAAAATTTTTTTTTTTTTGAATAACTCGCTAGTACTGTGCACAGTCACGAGAATTATTAGACGAAGATCGCAGATTGCTGAGTTTTAGTGAACAGCAGAGGCAACTTTTTTTTTTTTTTTTAATTGAATTAAAAAATCACACACGAGACAAACTCACCTTACACTCATGTGACCTAACATACATAGAAACACTAATCTTGGGCCCCATTCGTTCTTCACATTATACATTATTCCATACGTCAAAAGAGAATCGAACAAAATGGTATAAAAAGCGTCGGCCAAATCGAACACACCAAAAAACACCAGTATCGCAAATAAAATGGAAAGCAGATGCTTGAGATTTTGATTGTCGGGAGGTAATAAATTTTTGTATATCGAAGCTATCGGATAAGTGGCCAACAACGTGAAAATCAATTTTAAGTGATCTATGGCAACGAGTTCACCGGTGAGAACGGAAATTCTCACAAAGAAACCATCGAACAGTGCCATGACTATTTTTTTCGTATATGCACGATAGAGAGATGAATTTTGTATCAGGATCGAATATGACGCCCTTATATAAATTGAATTCGTGGGCTTTTTTTGCAGCTCTTGCTTTTAACCCGAAAAAGAAAGAATTATCGAATTTTTTTTTGATCGAGACAAATAAACAAAATTTGTAACCATTATACGTTAATCGATACAAATATTGCAAGATTAAAAAAAGTGTGAAATTTATTATGAATCATTGATAAATTTTTTGATCCCGCCAAATACATTAAGATTTTACCACGAGATGTTCACGAGTGCATGTGAAATAAAAAAAAAAAAATGCAAATCATTTGATCCACTTAATCGTTACACGAGTAGGATAGGTGATTGTTTACTTGGGACAATACGTAATAACCAAAATTTTACAAGTTTAGTGCCAACCAGATTTTATGAGCCTTGTAATGTACACTTTTTCTTTTACAAATTATTTAATAAAATTCAAGATCCACTATACAGTATATGTAATTCCCATCTTTTTATTTACAAATTGATAATTTCTGTAAAGGATGGCTTATGTAGAAATCCGTACCTATGTTCTCCCAATTGTTGATTGTTCAGCAATTGATTGATACTAATGGATTTTATTGACAAGTCAATAAATGTTGACCTAAAAAGTAAATAATAGACCATTTGATAAATTGTTTGGGCGATAAAATTTTAAGCGGTGTACGTTATATACACGAAATTAAATAAATTATTGTCGTTGATCATCTCATTTTTGTCCTCTGCTATCTCTTGTGATGAAATCGATAACTCTTCTTACGGGTGAAACACTCCTCGATCGTTCCAATTGGTCCTCATCCGAAGAACCATTTCTATTCGATTCTTCTTCGGCAGCTTCCGATTCGACAGCCGACGTCCTGCGAGGCCGTCGCCGAAGGAATTTATCCTGAGAGGAAAATAAAATGATCATAAATAAATAAACGATCCATTGGTCATTCTTTTTTAAAGATTTATTCACGTACCACGACGCTTTCTATGTCGTTGCTCAATTCCATTTTCGTGCCAGACCAGTTCTTGTGAATAGATGAACGAATTTCCGAGATAGATTTTTTGACGTGAAATTCTTTTTCCTTTAGAAATCCGAGATTCAGGTCTTTTGGCGAAACCCCTCTTTCAAGGTTTCGTCTCACATATTGATCATAATCTCGTACTATGCGAGTTATGATGTCGGACGTTGATACACCCTCCGTTCTTTGTGTGGGAAGAAATTTTCCCATTTTTTTTACAAATTCGTACACATCCTCGCAATCCTCGGAGGAATATGGAATGTCGTCGTGCGCGACATAGTCGATCTAGATGAATAATTGCGTCAACATAGAGATTTTCGAATTTTCCAAATCAAAAAGACCCTGATGTACCTTGTGTTTTTCTAAGAATTCCCGGTCAATCACCCACGGAGCATCAGGAATAACCTCATCCACCCATTTACAATGCCTGACTGATTCAACCCTTTCCTTCTCGTCCATCACCGTCTTCCCCTTTTTTCGATTCGTTATTTCATCGGAGCAGACTTTAAAAAAAAAAATCAAAAATAAATAAATCAAATAAATAAATGTGATATGTTTACATCGGATGTCGCCAAAGTTGAATTTTAAATCAATTACCGCCAACAAGCAAATAGACATCGGGGAACGATTTTTTCGCTTGTTCTAGAGAGCGAGCGTGTCCGAAATGGAAGAGGTCATATATTCCGTCACAATATATACGTACAGGCCTATCAGTGGGGGCAGGGTTGATTTTAAACGAGTATTTTCTATTATTTTTATCCGTATCATGTGTTGTAGAAGGGCTATCAATTCCCTCTTCGTTAACAGTACTAACTTTCGACCGTTTCGACAACGAGGTAGTGTTATCGCTATCCTTCGTGGTCACCACGCAAGCTCTCTCTGAAGGACTAGCCGCCGGTGTGGAAAGCATATTGCTATCCTCCTTGGAGGCGTTCGTATCATAGTGAGGTTGTTCACTCTTTCTCTTTGTTTTTGCCATGTTTTTCTTGTTTGCAAGTTTATTCAATGGTAAGCTATGCTAGTTGAGTGATAAATAGTTTAGATTATTAACGTTACGCTACAAGTTACAACCTCAGATCCTTGAGTTTATATACATCTATTCATCGGGTCACTATCGTTATCACAAGGGTGATTGAAATGATTTCACATGTCTTATGTACATAATGAGATACGGACATTTGGTGTTCCCATTGGGCAACAAAAAGGGGATTGTGCACATGAAACTTCCCCCAATTTTTGTGTGTTTACACAATTTCCCTCCCCGGTGGTGATCCAGTTTGGTCGCAGTTTTTCTTGGGCCCATCAATCATTCAAGATCTGGCGTAAAGATCATTGAAATGATAAAGTATATAAGGCTAGATTAATCATAAATGTCGCCATGGACGAAATGTGGGACTCCAACGCATTATTTACCATGCGTAATACCACGTGAACATATCCTTTACGCAAGGTTTATGCAAGGTTTATGCAATTTCAATTTTTTTTTAATTTAAAACGAACTTGACTACCGGTTTAAATTATGTCACGTACAGTACATTTGTACGTATAATTACGGCATTTATTTGGTTAGTTTCATAAAGGATGCACAAGAACCACAAATCTACGAATATGTAATTATTAAAAAAATTTATTTCTAAAAATAAATAAAATTCTTTGGAATTTTACACCATAAACAATAATTTCTATAAGCTCGATAACAAATAACATAACAAATATATTTTTAATTTAAATTGATAAGATTCAAATAAAATATACTGTACATGTATAAATATTTTTGATGACTGCATATTGACTATATAAATAATGTTTTTATATACTGTATACATATATATGTTTTATTTTTTAATTTAAAATTATTTTTTAAATAAATATTTTAAATTTGAACAATTTAAACATGATAAATAAAAGATATTCATTATGAGAAATACTTGCGTAACATTTACTTAATTTCTTTATATTATGAATGTTTGTTAATTATGACATTATCCTTATTAACAACATTTTTTAACAGATAATTAACATTTGAAATGAGATCTCATTCTACTATCGTCTTTGATGCGGCTTTTCTTAATCGATTCATAACCGCCAATCCTTCTTTCTCTTCGGAAATTCCCTCGACGATAATGCAATCCACCTTACGTTCATCAAGATATCTTAATCCTTTAAATAATTCTCTAGCAATTTCCTCTGGATGTGATGAATCACCTAAGGTGTATTCAATAATGTTCTGATCATTTGCCGTAGAAACCTTAAAATCATTTATTATTGCGCATTCTTTATTAGAGTAGAAGTTGTCTACTGACATTGGTTGTGCACCATTTGATGTCTTACTCGATCCTGTAACCAGAATTCCAATATTGTCCATTCCGCCGTTCACCATCTTTTGAATTTCTCTTTCTATTATATCTCTTGCACCAACTCTACCACATACATCCACCAACACCATCTTTGCATTAGGAGAATAATGACGATACTTCATTCCCGGAGTGGTAGGTGCTATTTCTTGTTTCTTATCTACATAGTCCTTGTTATAAACCCTCAGTCTCTCAAATTCCGGTATTTTGACCAATTCCTCGTATGTAACTCCACCAGGACGCAATATTACTGGATCCTTAGTTCCGATCGCGTCTATCACGGTGGATTCCACGCCAAAACTACATTGCCCGCCATCTATAATTAATGGTATTTTTTTATTTAAATCTGTTAACACATGAGAAGCCAGTGTAGGAGAAGGTCTCCCCGATGCATTGGCTGAAGGTGCGGCCAATGGAAATCCGCATTTTGATATCAATGCTCGAGCGACTGGGTGTGAAGGAAATCTAATAGCTACTGTGGGTTGATTACACGTTATTTCGGATGGAATCAAATCTGATTTCGGTAATAATATCGTTAATGGTCCCGGCCAAAATCTTTTTATCGCTGATTCATAAACTATCGGTATTTCGCCATTAGGTAATATGGATCTCAGCATTTTCAAAGAGGAAATATGAACTATTAAGGGATTATCCAAAGGTCTGTTTTTGGCTTTGTATATTCCTTTAATGGCTTCAGGACGAAGCGCATTTGAAGCTAAACCATAGACTGTTTCTGTAGGTATTGCGATCACTTGATCTTCGGCAAGTAGTTTTGAGGCGTGTTCAAGAATTTGAAGCGCATTAGGGTCTGTGGTAATGAAGTGTGGATCTTCGAGATCTGTGGAAAAAGTAAAAGTATTTGGATTTAGAACTGAAACTTGAGTATCCATTATAAAAGTATACAGTGGTAACTTGATAAAGGAATTGTTGTCTTGAGAAATTTGATTATGTAAAGTTTTTAGCAAACGTCTAAATATAAGAGGAGACATCTGTTTGATCCATTTTCTGTGCACACTGTGCACATGTATGGAAATCATCATCATATCGTCACTCCCGCAGATTCCGATAATACTTGTGCGACAGTGATTTCGATGTCAACGCAGTTTTTACTTACGCCTGAGATCGATGAAAACTTAATTACAAGCCTTATATAGAATGGGGACCTTTTCTACGTAAATGAAAATACTAGCAAGGGAACTTAAGGTGTGCATGGAATAAAGCAAAACATATTGCTCTGTTGAGAGCGTATGCTCTGCGAAACTATCTCGACTGATGGGTATTCCTCCGCTTACTCGAAATGGGTGGCATGCTATGGTTTGTGATCTCGGCAATTTGGAACATCAAAACTATGGCGGAAAATAAAATCAACGAAATATTGTCTTTTTTGTTCCATTTACCACCTATATTTCTCTTTGATTTTGCAGAATTTTAACTCATTATTTGTTTTTTAATTTTGAAGCGCAAAAAATGGATTCAATCCTTTCATAGTATTAAGCTCTTTCAGGATCGCTTATGATTCACCCAATGTTACAATACCTCACGAATATGACTGATCGTTTTATATTATATTAAAAAAAAAAAAAAGAGGAGAGAGCTAGCGCGAATCAGCGATTTAATATGAGCATAAAGGTTGATGAATTCTTTTCGTCAATCTGGCGAGAAAAGATTTGAAGTAGGAATGGTGAAGGCTACTTGACATCATATTTACCTTGCTATTTAAAGATCATGTAAAGATGCCGTGATATTCTTAATGACATAATTGACAAATACGAGACGTTTTGCGCACATGGTTCTTTAATAATTAATAAATATTTTTCCGAGACAACGGCCTGTCTCGGAAGTTTTCATGTAAATTATACCCTCAGAATATGCTATGCGCAGTAATACGTCACCGACATCCGCAGTCGTTAGATATTGTATTATATATATATAAACTGATTTCTGCTGTCAATTAGTGATTGGTCGAAATGAACTTTCGTCCCACAATATCAGCCAATTGAAGCAACATTTGAAAATCCTGTAAATGGTTCATTTTCATTTTTTTTTTGACAGAGTGGTGACAATACAAACAATAGAATGAGATGGGGAAACTAACATCGACTCTGTGCATTGTGCTTGCGTTTTGTCTCATCACACACCTCAAAAGTTCAGAGGGGACGTCGTTAACATATAATATTGCTGCTCATGAAAGAGCCTGTTTTTATGCTTGGGCAGACAAACCAGGAGAAAAGATTGCTTTTTACTTTGCGGTGAGTTTTAGACATATTACAACCGAGAATTTTAATCCAAACCCGAAAGGATGTTCTAACATTTTCAGTTTTAATGTTTTGTATCCCGCAGGTGCAATCGGGTGGATCTTTTGATATTGACTATGTCGTAACGGATCCACGTGGTAAAGAAATTCTTTCGGGTGATCGCGAACGTCAAGGAGATTTCGTGTTCACAGCCAATTATGTCGGAGAATACTCATTCTGTTTTGCAAATGATATGTCCACGTTCGCTGAAAAACTTGTTGACTTTGATATCACAATTGAAAACGAACCTCGAGCAGAATTACCACCCTCGAAAGGAATCACCCCCGAACAAACAAGTAATATGGAAGAAAGTCGAATGAGACTCAGTAGTGGTCTGAGCACAATAGCGAGAACTCAAAAATACTTTAGAACAAGGGAAAATAGAAATTTCTCTACAGTGAAAAGCACTGAAAATAGAATTTTCTGGTTTGCATTGTTGGAAAGTACGATGATTGTTGGTATGGCCGTTGTATCGGTATTTGTAGTTAAAACCTTTTTCAATACTACAAAGCGAGGCCATGTGTAAGTTTCGGTCTACTTGACGATATGAAAAGATATTCATCCGAACGGAATTTAGAGTTAATTATAATCTATCATTATACGAGGCCTTTGATTCCTCAAGAAGATATAAAAACTGCAATTTGTACAAAAAAAAAACTTTTTTCTTTCCTTTATTATAATAATAAATTATTAATTTTTTTTACGCGAGCTATGATTATAACCACGTGATAATGACACATGATTCAAATGATTTAATTAATTAATTTAATACGCGACCATAAATTCTGATAGATAATGGGAGAATCTCCGTTTGCGCGATTTCGTGGATCCAAGAAATTGTACGTCACTGATTTTGCATCACTCGCTTGGTGTGAACAACAGTATGATTATTCACTCACACTTGGAAGAAAGGTGACAACTGAAATGAAGGCGGGTTCAGCTATACACTTGGATCTTGAGTTAGAAGAACACGACATTGATGAAGTTTCAATAGAGACCGAAGAAGATGCCTGGGGTCTAAAGTAGGTCATGTTATAGAGAACAGTATTCATTCCATTACAGTCCGTTACCCGCCGTTTAAATGCGATAAATTACACGTCCTAGATTATACAACCTCCTTTTTGGACTCGAGGCCCTCACGACCACCGGAAAAACGCGAGAATTACCAATATTTGGCTTCATATTTGACATCTTTGTATTTGGAATCATTGATCAAGTTAAAAAATCTTCGAATTCTGAAAACGACGAATGGGAATGGATAATATGCGATACAAAAACTCGATCTAGACCCATTCGTCCAGAAAAGTCTACTATATCATTGTACGTCAAATATCAAATAATGCTATACAAAAAATTGTTTGATAATTTGGCAAACGGTATTATAGACGAAGAAAGGATATATCAAAATTTCAATTTGAATGCTGATAAGCCGTTTTCAAAAAATTTGTCCGAACTTATAAACGGACATTTCGTCGAGAATCGTAGGAAGAAGAATAGAGAAAAGTACTCAAGACAACAGCCAACCTTAAGAACGATCATGACTATGGTAAAGAATCATTTCAAGTTTTTTCGGAAATCAAGTGATACGTTGGAGGTGAACTACAGGTATCAAGGCGATAGCAGTGATCTGGGTTCATTAAATTTTGATTATGATGAAGAAAAGTTGGATAAACATTTACGACGATCTACTACGTATTGGAGAGGACTTCGAGATCCTGAGGGTGTACCTATTGAGGAAGCTTGGAAGTGTCAGTAAGTAAAATTTTCTTCATGAAAATTCTCGGCACATTTTTATCAAATCATTTTAAATATTTATTTTTTTATAGGGTTTGCGAATATGTGGATGACTGTGTGTGGCGGTTGAAAAAGGTTAGGGAAATTGAACAAAAACGAAGTATTGGCACGTGAATGTTATAAAAAAATATTGAGAGGGTTTGACTCGGTATTACTTGAGGAATGGTGTTACTACTGATAGACAGGTCTAGTTATTGTAACCTTCCAAACAGGACTTGTAAGTTATTGAGTCATTTTAGACATAATTATTTCCAAAATAAATTTAAAGAAAGAGCACAAATGAACAATTTCACAATGAGATCTCTTTGTCCGCTTTTCTAATATATGTACTTTTCCATCGCGTATACCTCAATATTTATTACGTTATTCGCGTAGGAAATTTCAGTTTTGATCTTATGTTTAAATAGTGATTTCTCGAATGCCGTCCTTATCTGTGATCTTAATCTTGAAATCGGAAAGATTTATAATGAATCTAGTTTTGAGTTCATCTATGCACTTCCTGATTAGAACTTTCGCTTCTTCGAGGTTGATATCGGGTCGGTGATATCTATCCAAGAGAGATAAACAATAATAAGCTCCGTATCCGTGAGCAGAAAAAGGAACTTCAACCGAAGTGCCAAGATAATCAATCCAATACAGATGCGGTGTAGATTTTGTCGTATCGTGTCCGGCGATCAGAAGATTGACAGCGTAAGGTTTCTGTAACGATTGAAATTAATTTATCAAATTAATGACACGATTACTCTAACGATTAGTTCTAGATATGATATAAGGCGTGTCTTTCTTTCGCATAAAAAAAATATTCAATAAATCATCGAATTGTTCAAGTTCATTCAGCAAGAAACAAGAAAATAATTGTCGAACATTTTGCAATGACGGAGATAATCGATTCCCATTAATCAAACAAAGTAATTTTTCTTTAATCATGGCTCACCCTGCTTCTCAGACTGTTAGCCAATTGTCTTCTAGTAAATGTAGCGGCAGCTTTCGGTGTTAACTCAATTCCATTCACGATTCCATAAAGTTTAACATTTCTCTGAATGTATTCGGCAAAGTGAACTGTGTCTCCTGGCTCGCCACAGTACAACAGCATGATGTGTTTGTTTAGATCACGAGATTTATCCTCGTTAGACTTCATGACAGTAATTGAACGTGCCGCTGATGTGTCCGTAGCAGTAAGCACGAAACCATTTCCTACGAAACCGATAAGACATTCCATTTTGGTGAAGATTCCGAAGTAATGAGAATGAGATTGCGTACGTCAACTTATGTACGATTATTGGTTACACGAAACGACATATCAATTTTTAATACGTACCGTATATTGCGTTAACTTAAAATACTTGAAAATTATTAAAAACTTTTGATATTTTAAAAACCATATATAATACGTATTACTTTTTAAAATTTTTTTAAATATATATATATCATAATAAACATTCAAGAAACAGAAATCGATAATAAAAGAAAATTTGATTATATAAAATATTATTTTAAAAAACATCAAACTATATACGTAATATAAATAAATCAAATACAATATACATGTATATATTACATATAGTTAACCAAAATTAAATAATAAATACAGAAAAAATAAACAAGATATGTTTTTTCATATGTTTTTATTATTAAAATTAATAATTATATAAAATGTTTTGAATTTTATATAAATTAAAAAAAATTTTTTGTAATAAATAAATCGATACTAACTTTTTATTTATTTTATTTATAATTTTATAAAAAAATATAATTTAATTTATATAATATTATAAAATAAATAATTTACAAATTAAAATTTTAAATAAATTTTAATTTTATTAAATAAAAACTTTTTTATTTTTTTCTTTTATATTTGAAAATTTTTATGTTGTTTATTTTTTTTTTATTTTTTTTCTTATATTTATTTTATTTTATTATTTTATTATTTTTTTCTTTCTTTTTCTTTTTTCTTTTGTTTTTATTAATATTATATTTTTTTTCTTTAAATTTTTTTTTTAAAAAATTACTATTTTTTATTATATTACTTTTTCAATAAATCAAATTTTTTTTTGTTATATATATATTATATTATTAAAAACTTTTGAGATATAAAATATTTTAAAATCTTATAAAACATTATAAAATTTTCTAAAATATTATTAAACTTTTTAATATATTTTGTTTATATTATTATTATTATATTTATTATAACTTATTATACTATATATATAATTATTAGAAATATTATATATACTGTATTATATTTATTATATTTGAATAAATAATTTAATATTTAATTTAAAGTAAATACATTATATAATTTTATAATTTTTGATAATTTTATTAATATTAAAAAACTTTTTCCTATATATAATATTTTTTTTACTTTTTATTATTCAAAAGTTCTTTACACTTTTTTTGCTTTTACTACAAGAATTTCAAAGAAATTAAATAAATATATTGATATATTGAAATAAAACCTTTGATAAAAAAAAACAAGTTAGAAAATTTTGTTGTTTTTTTTTTAATTACATAAAAAAAAACCTGTAGTAATTGTTTTTTTTTAATTACATAAAAAAAAACCTGTAGTAATTGTTTTTTTTTTAATTACATAAAAAAAAACCTGTAGTAATTGTTTTTTTATAAACTTTCCTTAAGATTTTTTCTATTTTCATTTTTTATTAATATATACTTTTTACTAAATAAATATTTTTTTCTTAAATGGCTTTTTCTTTTAAAAAATTAAACTTTTTATTAAAATTATTTATACTATTGGTTTGAAACATTAGCAATATATACAATTCTCACTTTTTAATATTATTTAGTATATATTACTATATCACAAAATTTTAAATTTTTTATTTGAAAAAATTTCTCATCAAAAACTATAATTAATTTACTTCTGTTAATTGATTGTTATCTCATATTCAACTAATCAAATACTATCAAATTTCAAAACAAATTTATACTATCCAATATACTATACAATTATCAATATAAATAAAACTATTTTCAGTAATAATAATTAAAACAAGATCATATTACCAATAATCTTTATCATCACAATTAATATTTTAATTAATTATGACTTTAACAATAAATAATATCAACTTTACTCTATTATTTATATTAATGGAAGGCATATTGACAAGAAAAAAGGTTTGGAAATATTTTATTTATTGATTATTTTTTTGTAAAGTTTGAAGATACTTTATATAATATTGATCTATATAGAATAAAAACTTTATATATTAACTATTTTTTAAAAAAAAAGTTCAGAAATACTTTATTTGTTAGCTACTTTTTCAAGAAGATATAATTTTTATTTTTATAAATTTTATAGTTTATTTGATTTTGTTTTAGTTTTAGTTCTAATTATCTTAATTATTTTTTTTTCAATTACATTTATTTTTTTTTTTGCTCTCTTTATATTTTTCAAATTTATATTAAAAGATTTTACAAAATTTTTTAAGTAGATAAATATAGTTACTTTTTTTTTTTTTTTTTACTTCTAATCAGACTGCAAAAGTTGCGTTTATTTATCCAATTTTGGAAAACAGTAGTACAATATATATAATACTATACTAAAGCTAAACTATCTTGAAATTGCAGAACACCTGTCAATGAATTTAGATTTGTACATGATCCTTGAATCCTT